CTTTTTTTTTTCCTGTCAACAAGTTTTTTATTAACTTAGACGATCATAGTACAGAATGAGGGAATTAAGCATCTTCCAACATTAATACAACATAAATCAAATGCGATAAAACATAAAGCAGATAAATCATCATAGAAGATGGACAGCGAATCCAAGACATGTCTCAGATGTGTCAAGAGAGTCTTCGCGACAAGGCCAGAGAGTCTCAGGGTAGTCACTTTCCATTGTGACTTTGAAGAACCAGGCATAGAGCTCGGAAATTCGACCGCTCTCCAGGAGAGGGAAGAAAATACGACCAATCTCAAAAAGATGGAAGAATATGGTGGAAATGAACTCTTCCACCGGGAGTAAATTACAAGGTTTGAGAACTCAGAAAACTTATGTCTTCTCTTAATAGAAGAGATATAATCACCAAACACTACAAGATTTGAGAATCCAGAAAACTGTGTACACTCAAAAGCATATAAGATTTCTTTTAAACATCTGCATTCTAAATTCAATAGAGATGGACCTAAAAAAATAGGAAGCACAACTTTAATAATTCTCTTGGTCCAAGCCCAAGGAATTGGAAATGGGCTTGAAAGCCCAATCATATTACTAGCCCTCCTCTTGGGCCGAGCCCAAATCTGTAGTTCGATGACCAGAGGCGGCTTCGGTTTCAGAGACCAAGGTTGCAGTTGTTTGCCAATGATTCCGGCGTTAACTCCGATAAGGTGAAATCCCGTCAGAGAAATTTCCGAGCATCGCTGGTTCTTACTGCAAGAGTTATCTCCGGCGAGGAAGGATACACATGATTTTGAAACTGGATTGAGTCAACTTAGCCGGATAAAACAAATGTGGGGAAAAGAGACAACTATAGCCTTCGCAATGTGGACAGATTTCATGGGGGAAAGGAGGCGGGGGAGGAATATTACATACCGGAGCAGCAGAGAGACTCCGAGGGCGTGACGGGGAGGGCGGTGGTGGAGGTGGGGGGTTGTATCGGGCGGATCCGGTGGATCCGGCCGGCGAAGAGAGAGAAGCAGCGCCGGATGGTTCATACCCCGTCAGAACCGAGGCGGCCAAGCAGAACCGAGCTTGTAGGCGTGGAGGAGAGAGACTGGAAGACAAGCATTGGGGGAGATCTATGACTCATTGTCTCACCGGCGAAACGACGGGCCGAGCCGCACCAATCAGGACGAAGGAGTAGCAGTGCCGCCGGAGACTCGCAGTGGGCCGGAGATCATTTCTGCTTACTTCGAGCACCGTGTCTGAGAGAAAAAGTTGTACTGTTCGCCCTTGCGCTGTGTTTTCTTTTTTTTCTGTTGGGT